CCCCATGAAATCTTCTCCAAAACTGACACATACTCAGTAACAAAAAAAAATCTCAAAAGATATTAAAAATTTTGTGGAGAGGTTTTTGAAGTATGATCTGATGGTTCTCTGGATTTCCTCAATGTCTGTTGTTATGTCCCCCTTTTCATTTCTGATTTTGTTGATGTGGATGCTCTCTCTCTGTCTTTTGGTTAGTTTGGATAAGGGCTTGTCTATCTTGTTGATTTTCTCAAAGAACCAACTCTTTGTTTCATTAATTTTTTGTATTGTTCTCTTTGTCTCTATTTTATTGATTTCAGCTCTCCCTTTGATAATTTATTGGTGTCTATTTTTCCTGGGAGACTTTGCTTCTTCTTGCTCTAGAGCTTTCAGGTGTGCTGTTAAGTCACTAGTGTGAGATTTCTCCAACTTCTTTATGTGGGCATTTAGTGCTATGAATTTCCCTCTTAGCACTGCTTTCATAGTGTCCCATAATTTGGGTATGTGGTGTCTTCATTTTCAATGAAAATCCTGAGAATCATTACATCATACTTCAAAAGACTGCACTCCACAAAATTGGAAAATACAAAAGAAATAGATAATTTTTTGTATATGTACTACATACCAAAATTAAATCAAGATCAGATAAACAACGTAAATAGACCAATAACCCCAAAGGAAATAGAAGCAGTCATCAAAAGTCTCCCAACCAAAAAAAGCACAGGGCCAAATGGTTTCAGTGCAGAATTCTACCAGAATTTCAAAGAAGAGCTAATACCAATACTCCTGAAATTGTTCTGAACAATAGACTCAGAAGGAACATTGTCAAACTCCCTTTACAAGGCTACAGTTACCCTGATACCCAAACCACATAAAAATGCAACTAGGAAAGAGAAATACAGACCAATCTCCCTCATGAACTTTGATGCAAAAACACTCAATAAAATACTAGCAAACTGAATCCAGGAACACATCAAAAAATCATCCACCATGATCAGGTAGGCTTCATCCCAGGGATGCAGGCATGGTTCAACATATGAAAATCTATCAATGTAATCCACCATATAAACAAACTAAAAGAAAAAAACCCCACATGATCATCTCATTAGATGCTGGAAAAGCCTTTGACAAAATCCAATGCCGCTTCATGATAAAGGTCTTGGAGAGATCAGGAATACAAGGAACATACCTAAACATAATAAAGGTAATATATAGCAAATCAACAGCCAACATCAAACTAAATGGTGAGAATCTCAAAGTGATTCCACTAAAATCAGGAACAAGAGAAAGCTGTCCACTCTCCCCATACTTATTGAACACAGTACTTGAAGTTCTAGCTAGAGCAGTAAGACAACAAAAGGAGATAAAGGGGATACAAATTGGAAAAGAAGAAATAAAATTTTTGCTATTTGCAGATGATATGATAGTCTACATAAGTGACCACAAAAATTTCACCAGGGAACTCCTACACCTGATAAACACCTTCAGTAATATGGCAGGATACAAGATTAACTACAAAAAATCAGTAGCCCTCCTATATACAAATGATAAATGAGCTGAGAAAGAAATTAGAGAAACATTACTCTTTACAATAGCCACAAATAACAAAATATCCTGGGGTAGCTCTAACAAACAAGTGAAAGACCTGTACGACAAGAACTTTAAATCTTTGAAGAAAGAAATTGAAGAAGATATCAGAAAATGGAAAGATCTCCCATGTTTGTGGATAGGCAGGATCAACATAGTAAAAATGGCAGTCTTACCAAAAGCAATCTACAGATTTGATGCAATCCCCATCAAAATCCCGATGCAATTCTTCACAGACATTGAAAGAACAATACTCAACTTCATATGGAAAAACAAAAAAAAAACCCAGGATAGCCAAAACAATCTTATACAATAAAGGAACTTCCGGAGGCATTACCAAACCTGACTTCAGGCTCTACTATAGAGCTATAATAATAAAAACAGCTTGGTATTGGAATAAAAACAGACACAGTGAAAAATGTAATTGCATTGAAGACCCTGACATTAACCCATACACCTATGAACACCTGATTTTTGACACAGAAGTCAAAATTATACAATGGAAAATGAAAGCATCTTCAACGAATGGTACTGGCATAACTGGATATCTACATGTAGAAGAATGCAAATAGATCCATATCTATCACCATGCACAAAACTCAAGTCCAGATGGATCAAAGACCTCAACATAAATCTAGTTACACTTAATCTCATAGAAGAGAAAATGGGAAATAGTCTTGAACGCATTGGCACAGGAGGCGACTTTCTAAATATAACACCAGTAGCACAGACACTGAGAGCAACAATTAATAAATGGGACTTCTTGAAATTGAGAAGCTTCTGTTAGGCAAAGGACACTGTCAATAAGACAAAAAGGCACCCTACAGAATGGGAAAAGATCTTCACCAACTCCACATCAGATAGAGGGCTGATCTCTAAAATATATGAAGAACTCGAGAAACTAGACAGCAAAGTATCAAATAATCCAATTAAAAAATTTGCTATAGAGCTAAACAGAGAATTCTCAGCAGAAGAATCTCAAAGGGCAGAAAGACGTTTAAGGAAATGTTCAACATCTTTAGCCATCAGGGAAATGCAAATCAAAATGACTCTGGGATACCATGTTATGTCTGTCAGAATGGCTAAGATAAAAAATACAGACAACAGCTTATGCTGGAGAAGATGTGGAGAAAGGGGAACACTCTTCCACTGCTGGTGGGAATGTAATCTTGTACAGCCACTCTGGAAATCAGTATGGTGGTATCTCAGAAAACTGAGAATTCACCTACCTCAAGACCCAGCAATACCACTCCTGGGCATATACCCAAAAGTTGCTCAACCACACCACAAGGACATTTGCTCAACCATGTTCATAGCAGTATTGTTTGTAATAGCCAGAACCCGGCAACAACCTAGATGCCATTCAACAGAAGAATGGATAAAGAAAATGTGGTACATTTACACAATGGAGTATTATGCAGCAGTAAAAAACAATATCATCATGAAATTTGTAGGCAAATGGATGGAACTAGAAAAATTCATCCTGAGTGAGCAGACCCAGAAAGACAAACTCGGTATGTACTTACTCATAAGTGAATGTTAGAAGCAAAGCAAAGGATAATTGGGCTACAATCCACAACCCCAGAGAAGCTAGAGGAGGACACTAAGAGGGACACACATGGATTGCCCCAGGGAGAGGAAAGGGTTAAGATCTTCTGGGTAAACTGGCAGGAGGGAGTAGAGGGGAAGAGATGGGATTGGGAACATCAGGGTCAAGATGGTTGAGTTGGGGGAGAGATGGGGAGGGAGAGCAGTGAAAGAGATACCTTGACAGAGTGAACCATTAAGGGGATGGGGAGAAATCATCAGCTAGGGAAAACCCCAGGAACTCACAAGATTGTCCCCAGCTAAGACTCACAGAAATGGTGGAGAGGGTGCTTGAAGTAGCCTTCCCCTTCACTTGGATTGGTGTCGACCCTAATTGTCATCACAGAACCTACATCCAGTGACTGATGGAAGCAGATGCAGAGACTCACAGCCAATCACTTGGCCAAGATCCTGGAGTTCAGTAGAAGAGAGGGAGGGAGGATTATAAGAGCAAGGGGGTTCAGAATCATGATGGGAAAAACCACAGAGATACCTGACCCAAGTTAGTGGGAGCTCATGGACTCTGGACTGACAGTTGGGGAGCCTGCATGGGACCAAACTAGGCCCTCTGAATGTGGATGAAAGTTGCATGGCTTGGTGTGTTTGTGGGTTCCCTGGCAATGGAACCAGGACTTATTTTGGGTACAAGAACTGGATTTTTGGAGCCCATTCCCTATGGTGCAATTACTAGCTAAATCTTATACTTAAATTAATCCATATTTCTATATATGCTTTGCCATGTGCTTTATGGTTTCTTACCTCATTTTCTACACATCCTGCTTGCTCTGCAGCTAGCTGGTGTCTCCCTTGACTTCACCCTTCTTCTCCCTATCATTCTCAATTTGGCTTTCCAGCCTAACTGTATCCTATTCAGCTATTGGCCAGTCAGCTTATTTATTTAGTGGCAACACGGTGTAAAGAAATATTCCACAGCAGCCATGCCTCCTTCCTCCCTTTTATAATGGTAATTTATCCATGTCATTTTATTTTAGAAGTATACGAGTCAATTTCTGATTGTCTAAGGTCTCATGGTTAAAAAACTGCCCTGAGTCCCAAAAGAGACTTTGGACTACTGAACAAAGTTTGGGCTAATAAAGACTATGGAAAATTTTATAGATGCCATGAGTTTCTTTTTCTCTATGAAATGGCTTTCATTCTATGGGCACAAAGTATGGAGTATCCTTATCTGAAATGGGGTATAATGGGTAAATATTTTTGCATCAAACATATTGTGAGTTTGAACCCAGTTATTTAGTAAATAAAACAAGGAAAGCAACTTGGACAACCTGTCCTCCGGTCTCCACTTGTTCCATCAGAGCACACTGGAAATGCCTGGCTATTTGTGATATTTACAAACAGAAAGACAGGAGATGCCCACTGCCCAGTGTACAGCATAACCTCCCCACTCTATGAAAATGGCACACACTGTCAGCAGAGCCAACAATAAAGAAGTCCAGCTCTGCCCTCATTAGACCTGAGTACCTAATGGACTCTACACAGGAGTGTGGTTACTTTCTTTTGTTCAGTGGCAGCTTCCTCACAAATCTTCTTTCATTGGTATTTGTTGTGCTTATTTTGCACATTGCATTTCACTAGTACTTTTGTTTACTATATCTTATTGGCCAAATCTGAACACATGATCATGACCTTCAGAGTTTAAGATGTGAAAACGGTTAACAAAAGGAACATTCTAGACAGATATAGGAGGAAGTAAGATTAGACACACCTAGAGAACCATGTTTATGCTTTATTTAGAGCAAACTGATGAGTACTTGAGTTTTGTGTGTGAATAGGAAATTTCTTCAAGGAGCCTTCTGACAGATGTTGCAAATGCAGGGGCCCTTACTTCAGGCCTCTTGAGTGGTCACTATGGAAGCACGCTGGGCCTTCTTCCAACTCTGTAGTTGCAAAACGCTTATCTCAGAAAGAAAGATAACTGCACTGAAAAGTGAGATGGCAGCTGTCAGAACCCCTAATGGCAGCACAGTAGTGCAGTATTTGGTTATCAGTGCTTCTTCGCTAACAGGAAAGTATGATGGAAAGTCGAGAGTGGTTTGGCCATAATGATCTACAAAGTGGTTCCAGCTGACGGAAACCAATGTGAACAGGCTGCTAACACACAAAACTGAGGCAGAAACATTGTAGCAGTATGTCGCCATCTCCACAAATGGGTCTTTCATGCAGCTGATCTTAATAGCAACTACACCAAAAACCAGAACTACAGGCTTCATCAAAATGGCCCACACTATCAGGGTCTGTGCAATCTGAAACTCAGATGAACTGGTCCTGGTGGAATCGGTAGTGGTGTGCACCAGCATCTTGGTTATAGTCTCTGATTCATTAAGCTCTTGAGGGGAATAGGCCTCCCAGAGTCCAAAGGACACAAATTGCAAAATGTTGTTGTCGAATCTCCACGGGCGCCAGCATTGGCTGCTTGCAATGATTATTTCAAACACCAAAGCTAATAGGCTGCTAAGGAGGGCACTCAGCTTGAAGATGCACCCTTTTCCACTGAAAAATCTGAAGATGAGATTGAACAAGGATATAGTCAAGCCAGGAACCCAAGGGAAGTTGGGAAAACAAAATGAGTCATACTTTATGGAGAGCTAAACCCTCATACCTTGTCTATGCTGTCTCATAGTTGTATTTAAGCAGTCTATCTATATATTAGGGTCCATCATACTACAGGTATGAGTGTAAGATGCCCTAAATTCCACAAATATATCAGAAGTTCCCTCTATAAGAGGTTTTGCTTAGCAATTTCACTGTATCTGTCAAATGCTGAAATGTGCATATTTGTTAACTAAGAACTTCAATGCTTGAAATTAAGTCAAAATGAGTTTACAATATTGTATGTAAGGTGATGCTTATTTCCACTATGTTTGCAATACATAAAATGATAAATAACTTAAATGGTAGCAATAAGCAGAGGTATTGCTTAGAATAATTTCATTTCTAAAATATGATAGTGGAATATTACAAACACATTGAACTTATACTGTCTGCTGAAAGAACAAAGAAAAATGACAAATGTTTAACATGGTATATGCATGTATATCAAAATTTCACACTTGAATTATGTATATTTCACTGTATGTGTACATGTGTGTGCTAGTATATGTGTGATTGCAGAACATGTGGGGAGCCAGGTGGCAGTGGTGCATACCTTTAATCCCAGCACTCAGGAGGCAGAGGCAGGCAGATCACTGTGAGTGAGTTTGATGCAAGCCTGGTCTACAGAGTGAGTGCCAGGACAGCCAGGACTGTCTCACAGAGAAAACCTGTCTCAAAAAAAAGAAAAAAAAGAAAAAGAAAGAAAGAAAAAGAAAAAGATCATGTGGGAAAACTTGAATTCTTTCTTTTTTCCCAGAAAACTAAAATCTATTTGTAAAACATGAGGATTCATAGATGTTTCAAGCATTTCCCAAAACTTTCCCAAAGGTCCTTTTCTGAAAAATTTCATTTAATTGAAATGCATAAAGCATCTTGTCTATATTGTGTTTACACCTATCTTCTTCAGCACCAATTGAGACTCCACATTTACTATACACCAACTTATTTAGATTACTTCTTTGAAGGTAGTATAAATGCTTATGAAAAACTATGGCTCAAGGAGTGTCACCATGTCTTTGAATAGAAAAAGTTGGTTAAGGCCTCTAGATAATGACATTGCCATTTCCCATGCACAATGTTTGGGGGACCTACACACTGGATCTCCTTACCAGGAAATCTGTACCAGCTAGCCTGTGCTCCACAGACTCTGTGGAATGTTCTTCCTAATTGGAAGGAGGCAGTTGCTGTAATACTTGGGAAGTTACACCTGCAAGATGGGTTTTCAATTGACAGTGGCTTGTGTAATACCACACCCTTATTCCTTGCCAAGGCAGATCTGAAGCTGGTGAGAGCAGGAGCAGTGAATTTTGAAGCACAAATGGAAACAGAGTGGGGAATGATGTTGTGTAAGGCAAATGAGCTAGCCTGGCTGGGTATAGTTCTAGCCATGTCTGAATCCCATGGAGTAGATGCATGTGTTTCAGAAAGATCCTACTTGAAAATCTCAATGGCTTATTTTAAGTTTTTACCTTTGCATATCAAGGGTGAGAAGAACCATTTTGTATATGCGAAGATTATAAATATCTTCCAAACAACAGGAAATGGTGACCAGACAGGGAGTCACACAAGAGGCGAATCACCTTCAGTAAAAGAAATTCTGTTAGACAGTTATTTCAACTCACAGCAGTGTTCCACTAACCAAATCCTGGTTCACCCAAACCTTTCCATTCTTCTCCTCTGTTTTGCTTAGTTGGAGCCTCTTTTATACACTTCTGGAGTATTAGCATATTTTACATTATCGTCCCTCCAATGAGATCCACATAATCATTATTCCCATTTTGTAGATAGAAGAACAACATAGAGAGGCTAATTCACATACTGAACTTCAGGAAACTACACAGGTATAATGGTTAGTGCCAGCTTGAGAGCCTTCATAGACATGCAAGTATTCCCAGAACTTACAATATGCAGCAGGATTTACTCACATGGAAATGGTGTAAAAAATAGCTGAAACGTATGTCAGTGGCCTCTTTGACATTCTATGTCATGAAATTGAAACTTACTAATATAAACTATGTAGAAAATATAAAATACTTGCCTATTTTTCTCTTTTATGAGGCCCAAATATTAGTGACTGCCAAGGGTAAGAGAGTGACTTGAAAAATTCTTATGTTTCCATAGTTACCAGAGATGTCACATTATGAGCAATGAACCAGAGTCAAGACATATATTCTTAAAGGACCAGAATAGTTAATACCCATCTCATATCTGAGAAAAATTAAAAGTATAATTAATTAACTCCATTGATTAATTTAAAAACTTTTATCATACAATATAATTTGATTATTATTTCCCATTTTAATACCTTTTTTAATCCCAGCCTTGATGCAGAAGGGAGGGTCTATGTCTAGCCCCAACATGGTATAACAGCCTGTGTTGACTACCCAAGGAAGACCTTACTCTCTATGAAGAGGGGATGGAGGTGGGATGGGGGGTATGTGGAGGGAGCGGGAGAAGAGGAGGGAGGGGTTGGTATGTAAAAGGAAAGAAAAATTTTTAAAATAAAAATTTATAAAAAAAGAATAATGTAGAAGTAACCAACCGTCTTATTAAATAAGAAACACAGAACCAATGCAAAGAAGAAAGCCAAGAGGTCAGACCTAAGAGCTAAAACCTTACCCTTCCTCCTGCGGTGGTCCTACCTCTCCAAACCAGAGCTACTTTCTGTGTTAAAGTCTTTATATAGAGTTTCTGTTCTACCTTCTCATTGGTTGTAAACTCACATGACCGCCTTGTCACGGCCTGTCTGTATAGACCTCCAGGTTTTCTATGATTGGTATTGAGATTAAAGGCATGTGTATCCAATAATGGCTGTATCCCTGAACACACAGAGACTTAACCAGCTCTGCCTACCAAGTGCTGGGATTACAAGCATACACCACCACTGCCCTGCTTTCCTATGGCTTGCTAATAGCTCTGACCCCCGGGCAACTTTATTTATTAACATAAAAATAACATTTTAATACAAATAAAATATCACCATAGAATAAGCCATGTAGAAATGGGAAATATGTGGGGAGCCTGGATCCTATATAGTGTTGTATTGACTTTAAATTTTTTGATTGCTGATGAGCAAACAATAGCTGCTGGGAGACATTGGATTATAACAACTACTAAATTAAACCAGTCTATATATTTTTTAAAATTCAGCAATATAGAAAAAGTACAAAATGTTCCAGCTAAGTGAAGTTTATTCCAACAACTAACAATTAATTAATTGGTAACAACAATTAAATGCAGGGTTTAATGTCAGAAAATAAATCAACTACACTACACTAACAGACTAAAGAAATATCCCTTAACAGGAAGATTCTACCAGTGGGCATATAAAAAATGGTCAACATCACTAAGTACAGAAGATATGCACATTGAAATGATCTTGAGATGTCATATCACATTTGCTACAAATGTTACTATCAAAAATAAGGGGTGACAGGAGTAGCAAAGTATGTGAGAAAAGGGGACCCTTCCACACCATTGGTAGGAATGCAAATAGGTACAATATTTATGAAAATCAGGAGAGAGTTTCCTCAAATAATTGAGCTTAGAACTAACCATATGACCAAACAACTTCACTAGTGAGTATCCAAAGGGAATTAGTCAGCAGCTTTGACAGATATCTGCATGTCCAGGTTCATTGAAGTGCTTCTCAGAATACTCAAGATATGGACTCAACCCCAGTGTCCTCTCACAGACAAATGGATAATGTGACAGATATATAAAATGGAACTCTATTTGACATTAAAAATAAAATAAAATCCCTATCATTTGCACAATGATGAACCTGGAGGGCATTGTGTGAAAATTTTAAAACTAGAGAGGGTCTGGGGAGCAGGAGGAGGTGATGCTGAAAAGACAAAATCTTCATAAAAAGAAGTTCAAGAGATCTGTTCTATTCATGGAGACTGCAGCTACAAGGAACATACTATATTTTGAAAGTTGCTGAAGGAAGTTAATTGCTCTTTTCACACACAAAATATTGTTTGTGGGGTAATGCATATGTTAACTAGCTCCAATAAATTATGTGGGATGACTCATCCCTAACAGGCTTGAGGGCCAGCTGGCCCAAAACAGTAAAAAAAGATACCTTTTGAGAGCCAAACTGGGTTTGCCCAAGGGCCTTAGCAACAGCAGCTGAGACAAGATCTGGAGATGACCTGGCCCAATGAGAGGCAGCCATGTCACACCAGAGTGGGGTGGAGGGTATATAATGCTTGCCTCTTCTTGAATAAACTGAGTTTGTTGTTTGGACATCCTCCCAGAGACTGTGTGGTTTGACTCTGTGCCTACTTGCCCCCTCCCCCAAAGGTAACAACAGCACAGGACCCTGCCACAAAATTATTGTATACAATGTATACATATTTCACAATGTCATCCTATATACCATCTATCTAAATATTATTTTTCTGTTGCTGTGATTAAAGCGGCAATGTTAGGATCCTGCTCTCACCCCAGCTGTACTCTGGCACATGTGCAGCTTGGGGTCTAGTGTCTTACGTCATCAGGGGGCAAAGGTGACTACATAGTCATGCAATCCCTGCCTTAAAAAGCTGGATGCGTACCCCCACCCCTCTCTCTGTGCTCTCTTTCTGTGTTTCCTCTCTGCTCTGCTCTGCTCCCTCCCCCAGGCCTGGCTCTCCTTCCTTTCTTCTCCCCATCTTTCCCTTCTAATAAAGCTCTTTCTAATTCTGGTAGTTGTGACTTTTCTGCCGGTAATCAGCGCCACCAACCAGCGCCGTTTTACCATCATTTGGTGCCATGAACTTGGATAGGAAATTCTGCACACTCAGCATCTGGGGCTGAATGTCAGAAGCCTAACCCAGGACCTGCGACTGCCTGGTAACTGCCAGATCCACTTTTTTCATTTTCCCTGCTGCTGGACCCACACAACATTTGCACACCACACTCGTCGCTGCTGCGTCCTCCACCTCCACTGCAGGTGTGATTGGTGAGTCCCAATAGCTGCAGCCTGAGCTATTTCATTTGCATGGGACCCCTGGTGGGGGGTCCTTGGCTGTGTACCATAACACATTCTATCTGTGTTAGTATAGAATGCTGTCCGGCCCCCAGAGGGGGTCTTCTGGGTATGTACGCCCCAGCCCTTACCCCTACCATGACAATGGTTTGGCTAACCTGTGCTGTTAATGCCAATTCAAAGACTGCCTATTCTCAGGGATGCTTGAGATAGGAACCTGGGATCCCTGTTATCTTAATTTTTTATTTTTCTCTCTCAGCTGCAGCCATGGAACATAGGGGTGGATACCAGTAAATTTGACCACATAATGGCTTCACAGGAACTTCTGCCAGTGAATGGGCAAATGAAAAGAGTTACCTTATCCCCAAGCTTTCTACTGAAGCTCTGAATCCTTCTCCCTCCCCCTACGGCCCCCTGCCACGTGCAACCACTTCTATCTGACTTCTGCTTTCTGCTTTCCAGTATTGCGTATAACTCCTCCTCCTCTTTTTCAAGCTGCCCGTGAGAGGCACAGATGGGTCTGTAAGCAGGCTAGGATCCATGCAAATAAGTTTACAGTAATCAGGATGGCTCTTAAACCAGAGATCAGTTTATAGCCTGCCTCCTGGCAGGTCTTCCAAAAGCTGTCCTCAAGCCAGCAAACATCAAGGAAAAAAAAATTCAAGACACGGAGTAAAATCCATCTCTTGTCCCTAAGACCTCCCTGACATGGGACTAAAACTTAAGCATCTAGAGAGCAAGGCTCCTGACCCCACAGGCAAAAGTGTCATCTGTGGAATTCAAGGTGTACCAGGGAAGAGATAAAAAAGGCCTGAGAACAAAATTGCCAAGTGCTGGCACACACTGGCTTCTGAAAGCTGTTGGGTCCCTGTTTTAAGTGAGGAAAGAAGGCCACGCAGGCTAGTGAGTGCCCTGCCAGGCCATCAATTGAGCCTTGTTAAAAGTGCCACCTAGAAATACAACCAGTCAGCTGGCTGCCCCCTGGCATCAAGATGGCATGGGAACATCAAGCTAAGACCTCCAGTAGACCTAGGTTTGGTCACAGGCTCTCAGGGAACCCAGAACACAGCATGGAAGTGATCCGTTTCTTTCCTTCTGGACACCAGAGCCACTAACCCAGTCCTGGGAGTTTTGAGGTCTCACCTTCCCTCATTTCCCTATTGTTGGGGTAGGGAGGACAGCCTTACTCACCTCACCAGATTTAATTGCACTTTCAGAGTTACTTAATGGGAAAAGATTTTCCAGCTAAGGTAGGAGCTTTCATTTCATTGCTCCCTCCATGTGCCTTACTCCAGACCTGTCAGAAGCACTTCTCCTCCTTATACACACAGACAGGGCCCTGATCTCTGCCTTGTCCCTAATTCCAAAGAAATAAGTTCTTATGCACCATGAGCTTTTCTCTTCCCAGTTCCCT